TGGCATGTGGTGCTGGGGGATTGAACCACGGTCCCTGATGCTTTTGCTAAGCTTGTTCTAAGTAGGTGCTTTAGACCACTGAGCCATCTCTCCAGCCCCCTATATTCAAAATTATACCCATTGTTTGGCTTTAAATATTCACAGTACTTTGCAACCACCTCCTCTACTGATTTCATTTATGTCCAGCACCCTAAAATAAATCTAACAAATCATCAACAACTGCACTGCATGCCTGCCTCCCCCATCTCTCCAGTTTTCTGTCTCTCTCTGTCTCTGTCTCTGTCTCTCTGTCTCTCTGTCTCTCTGTCTCTGTCTCTCTCTCTCTCTCTCTCTCTCTCTCTCTCTCTCTCTTCTCTCTCTGCAGCATGTGGTCTTTGTGTCTGGTCTCCTTACCTTTAGACTTTGGACATCACACCTGAGGCAGGTGGAGCTGACTTGTGGCTGGCTGCAGGCTCTGGACCCTCATGACTTCTGCATGATGAGGATCACCACCTCATCATGTGGCCCATCCACTCCCTGGGACCACACATATCCTTCAAATACCTTTGTAGCACATATGTAAGGATTACAGGCTCCACCCCATACTCATGCTTTCATTACAATTTTCTCTGCTAAGTTTATGAGTTCTCTATTTTTCTTAGGGGGCCCACCCATTAGCTCAGTTGTTTAAGTGCCTGCTTAAACATGCAGTGAGGCTCAATTTCCACTGGTTCAAACCCAGATACTCCAGCTAAACCAGAAATGTTCAGGCCTCAAAAAAAAAAAAAAAAAAAAAAAAAAAACCTTCTATTTTTTTAGATTTAAGTTTACTTTTTGGCTGCTACATAAAATTATAGCACATATATTTACATGATGTTTGGACACATGTATACATTGTGTTAAATTTAATCAGGGTAAACATATCTATTTTCTTAAACACTCACCGTATCTTTTCATTGAGCTTTTGGAAACATACTGTGCAAAATCTCTATCTACAGTGATGTAGATACAGTGCAATAGCATACCATAATTTTTTGCCCCTAGCTAACTGTAACCTTATGCCCTTCAGTCAGCTTCTCCCCAGCCTTCCCTCCAACTCTCTCCAGCCTCTGGTGCCACCATTATTCTCACATCCATGAGACCAGCTTTTGGATCTGTATTAGTTGTCTTGCAGTGCCTGATCTACTTCGCTTAACAATCTCCACCTCCATCCATGTTACATATGATAGGACTTCATTCTTTTTATGCTGAGTGGTACTCTGTTACACGTAGATGCCATATTTTTTCATTCGCTTGTCTGTTGGAGAACACACAAGTTGGTTCCCTTTACTGGCTACTGCAAACAGTGCTACAGTGAATATGGAAGTGTAGAATGTTCAACATAGGGACTGTACTTCCTAAAGTGTTCCCAGTGTGGGATGGCTAAACCATACAGTCATCCCATTTTTAGCTTTTGAGGAGTCTCTGCGTTTTCCACAGTGGCTATAAGGAGCTCTCTTGGGATTGATAAAACCCGACTCCTCCTTCTGACTCTGAAGGACAAGTGGGTTGGGTTTTATATAATGCCCATTGCTGGGTTAAAGCATTCACAGGATGTTAGAAATGAGCAGGCATAATCCTCATCTATAAAAAAGAGGGAAATGTGCTTTCCAAAAAGAGGAATGCACATTAGAGCATGCTTGAGTCCTCGGTGCCTCTCTGCTGAGTTAAGTTAAACACTATCATCAGAGAAGACCAAGTAGCTCTTCCCTATAGCTCTTCTCCCACCAAAAGCCTTCAGGAACATGTCCAGATTTTGTCAGAAGGAAAAACAGAGAGAACATGAGGGCCTTTCTTGTGGGTAAAGATTCTAAGTGCAGTCCCACTCAGACTTCTAGAGAGAGCAGATTCCCAGGACCCCATAGTCATGGGCACAGGAAAGAATGAACAGGGGATGGTCTGAATATCTGGGCAGACACCTCCAAGGACAAGGCCAGAATTCAGCCAGTTTTAATATGATCATGACACCTTTCCCACTTGAGCCATCTGAAAGGCTTCCATAACCAAATCGCTATATCTGAGTCTCCCAGCTTCTACATTTGGCTGGGATCCCAGTACTGCCAACTCATTGCCCCACCTTGGGGCCCCTGGGCATCTGGCCCTGCAGGCTGTCCTGCCATGAGTCCTGACACTTGGTCTTTGTGCCTTCCCTTATCTCCTGCTACCAGCATGTTTATCCTCCAACTACAGTATCATTGGCCACACACCCTCAGAGTAACTTTTTTTTTTCCTTTTTCAACTGCCAAAAACCATAGTTAGTTGCTTTTGCAAGAATAATGGGAAGATTCTATAGAAGCTGATGTGCCTGGATGCTTTTCCTAAATCTCTAGACTTCCCATTACCCAGAGATGGTGTGGTCTGCCTGGAATTTTCAGGAAACTAAATTGATTCCCTTGCAGTGACCAGAATCTTCCTGAGAAGCTGGCAGCTGGACTCAGAGCTAAGTAAGTACTTCCTATTTTAATGGCACTCATCAAGGTCCAGCTTTCTTTACTTTCTCTCCATGCCAAGGTGCTCTGGGCCTTCCTAAAAGATAAGAACCGTAGCCAGCACCTATGAGGTTTCCTAGGTAGAACCTCACCTGGCTAGCAGCTGTTTCCAAAACCTTTCTAAGCCAAGTTTATTATAATGGCCACCAAAAATGACAAGGTGTAGTGAGATGTCCATCCCAGCTGGGGGAAAGACCTGTGTCATCCACCTTCAACTGCAGATATACTTTTAGGGAAGCAGGAAAATGGGACATTGAGACAATCTGTTATTCCAAGCTCATAGTAGGTTGATCTGAGTTTGGGTTTAGTCTATTAACACCCTGGGATTTTACAGGGAGTATAGTGATAACGGGTTGGCAAAAACCCTGGAATAAGTAGGTGAGATTTCAAATCCCATTCATACTTAGGGTGCCTCCAGAAGGAGCACATAGAACAGAAATGAGGCATCTCCAATATTAACAGTTTGAGGCAATGATGGAGCAACCTTCCTCTTTGGAGGCAGTACTTTCTTGGCTTCTATCACTCTCATGGTGGTTTCTGTACCATGTCTGGTGTCTATCTACTACCCCTTGTGTCTGTCCCCAGCAGGGATGGCAAGAATAGGAAGTGGAGCAGCCTCTCTGCCCAGGAGCCTCGTCTTTTTGGTCTTCCTGAAGCTACTGCCTTTGGCAATTGGTAGGGAGACCCTCTGCAGCCTTAGGGGTCCCAGGATTCCCAACTCCCTACCTGCAGGTTGGGGGTCCCAATCTATGAGGGAGGTTCCCTGGGGGGAACGGGAAGGAGCCCCCTGTACAGTCGCCAAGTCCTAGAGGTTGCCAAGTCCCCCTGCCCCCAAACTTGCAGCCCTAAACATCCCTGAGTCCCTGCATCCCCAAAATTTGGAACCCTAGGGATCTTGGGGTCTCTGTCTGTCCCCTCCCCACTTTGCCACAATCGTTGGCAACCAGCGGTCCTAGCACCCCAGGATGAGGATGGCTGACCTAAGTAGTCCCTCTGGGTTCCATCCCACATTCCAGGGAAGGCAGACTTCCAGGTGTTGGGGCCACAGCAACCTGTGCTGGCTGTGTTGGGCAAGGATGCAGAGCTGCCCTGCTGGCTGTCACCCAACATCAGCGCACACCTCATGGAGCTGCGCTGGTTTCGTGAACAGCCTTCGCCCGCTGTGCACGTGCACCACGCCGGGCAGGACAAGATTGGAGAACAGATGCCTGAGTACCACAACAGGACTAGTTTCGTGGACCTCGACATGGCCCAGGGCAAGGCTGCAGTGCGCATCCATCGAGTCACCGCCTCAGACAACGGAAGCTACCACTGCCTCTTCAAGGAGGGCAGGGCCCAGGAAGCTGCCACCCTTTGGCTGCAAGTGGCAGGTGAGGGAGGCCCTGGGATTTCTGGTTTACCTGGGCTTACCTGGCACTTCTACTGTGACAATCCTGATGTAAGGCTGAAGCTGAGATCCTTCCCTGACAAGTGTGCTACAGCTGCTGATCTCAGGATGCAGTTCTCAATGCCTTGAACTGGAAAAGGGGGAAGCAGAAGGGGCAGAACAACAGTGAAAGATTGAGACAGTCAGAGAAAATCAAAAATTAAATGAGCAAGAGAGAGAAAGACAGATAGCAGGAGAGAGCTAGAAATTGAGGGAGAAATATGGAGAGAGAGAAAAATGGAGAAGAGACAGGTACAGAAGAGAGAAAGGAAAGTGACAGGAAAGAGAAAAAGGTGGAGAGGTGTTTTTGTTTGCTTGGTTTTGCTTTTCTGTGTTTTTTGATAGGTAGAGTTTTCCAAGGTTACCTGGAACTTTTCTTTAGGGCAAACTAACTCAAGTCCTTTCTATGCCCACACTCACCAATTATGTAACATAGGAAATTCAGTTAATCTGAAAGCTTTTCTGCCTCATTTTATCCCATTTAACCTAAGAAAAGAGAGTACTGTATTAAGATAAGCAGCCTGTGAAAATTTACTAGTAACTACCAAACATCTTCAAGACTTTCATTGTTGTCATAGAAGCAGCTCTCACTACAAAGACTCAAGATGATACTTCTTCCTTCAGGAGTGGGCTCCAAGCCCAGAATCCAAGTGATCCACACCCAGGATAGAGGTGTCTGGGCAGAGTGCACCTCTGATGGCTGGTACCCACAGCCTGAGATCAAGTGGAAAGGACAGACCTTGCCTAATGAGACCAAGTTCTCAGTGTCAGCCAACACTAGCCTCTGGGCTGTGGTGTCCAGGGTGGCCCTCCAGGATGGGGCTGTGGACAGCTTCTCTTGCTCCATCTCCAACACTCTCCTCTCGGAGGAGAAGGTGGCTAACAGTCATCTGCCTGGTAAGTATCCTGTTCAGTTCTGTTTGAGAATCACTGAATACAGGTGTCCATGCCCATGTCCATGGGGACATTCTGAGAGAGCTGTGGGGCTTGAGCAAGAGGAGAGGGGTGGCTGTTCTTGTCCACAGCCTGGTGTCAGGGGTGGCCTGAAGAGAAACCAGCCTGGGTGTTGTCACTGAGATGGAACAGAAATGAGGGTGCCAGGAGTCTCCCCTGGGCGGCCTTGCATTTCAAGGAGAATAAAAGAGATGGACCCCGCTATTATTTCTATGGATTTTTTTTTTGCCTTTTACAAAATGTTTTAGAACAGTTTTAGTTCACAAAAAAATTGAGCAGAAAGTATGTAGATTTTCCATATACCCTCACTCCCACACATGTATAACTTTTACCAGTATAAAAATCCTATATTCATCCCCCAGCAGGTCTTCTTTCTCTCCCTCTCACTCCTGGAAACCACCACTGCTGTCCCCACAGTTTTGTCTTTGCCACAGTGTCACTGAGTTAGGGTTACACAGGATATAACTTCTTCAGACTGGCTTGTTTCACTTAATAATATGTATGTAAGTTTCTTCCATGTTTTTTTGTTGCATGTAAGTCATTTCTTTTGAAGGCTAATAATACTCCACTTTCTTGACAAATCAATTTATCCATTTACCCACTGAAGGGTCCATCTAACTCTTCATTAAAAGTTTTATTTAAAAAAAATTAAAAAGAGAAGTGCTTGCTTCAGCAGCATATATACTTTTTTTAATATTTATTTATTTATTTATTTATTTTGTGTGTGTGTGGCCAGCTCAGCCCACCAGGGTGGGCGGGGCTGGCTAGCATGTGGTGCTGGGGGATTGAACCAAGGTCCCTGTGCTTTGCTTAGCTTAGCTTAGCTTGTTCTAAGTAGGTGCTTTAGACCACTGAGCCATCTCACCAGCCCATATATACTTCTTTAAAAAGACAAATTTACAGATAACTTGAAAGAATGGAGAACTTTGTATCCTTTACCTAGATTGACCACATTTTTTAACATTTTGCCACATAGTTCAATCATTCTTTTTGCTTATCTACAAGTAGGCAGATATATAATAGCTACCTTCTTTGCACACAAAAGCAGGATATTCATTATGGCCATCCATATGGTGATGACATTTGAGTCTACCCTGCCCTCAGTGACTCATGAACAACAGCAATGAGCTGCTCATTGTCCTGGAAGTTGTCTTGCTGGGGCAACTTCTTAGTTCACAAATGACCCTCCATAAGTCCTCCCTCATATGTACAAAGACAAGCTGGGCACTGGGGTCTCTCTTACAGGGGCTCTAATCCTATTGAAGAGGCTTTGTCCTCATGACCTCATCATCTCGAAGAGGCCCCATCTCTTAATGCCATCGTGGGGCTTGGGGTTTGGCACAGGCAACTGGGGGATATAAACATTCAGTCTATTGTATCATATACAAATATATGTATCTTCCTGAATATTTTCAGAACAGTTTGTAACATCAAGCCCCTCAACCTATGAACCCTGTAGCAAGTGTGTTCTGAGAACAAAGATGCTCTTTCCCCTGCTAATCTTGCCCCCTGGAACTCCTCAGCACCCTTCTCCAGAGGGTCTCAGCTTAGGAAACAGAGACTAGCCCTGGCTTTCTCCCTCCTTGCCATGGGACTCATAATGGCTGGAGTCATCTACCTCTTTGGGAATTGTCAAAGGAAAGCTTATCGGACACAGCTGACAGAAGAGACAGAGGGAGGAAGAGATGAGCAGAGCCAGCAAGCCAGCATGCCAAGGGCAATGCCTCTCCATGGTGAGTACAGAGCTCTACCCTCTCAGATCACAAACCTCCATGCCAGGCCCCTGAGCCAAGGTTGTTTCCTCAAACCTAGAGGAGTGGAAAGGCTAGTAGGTGTTCCAGCTCTAGATCAGCCACCAGTGGAAACACTTATCTCTTGGGTTTCCTTGGTTGGCTATTCACTAGATAATCCAGATAAGTTGTATGTCTCCCTCTTGGAAATGAACAAGTCTGAGCATGAACCATGTACTAGTTCTTTTCCCATTACTATAACAAAATGCCTGAGGCAAGTTAACTTTATGAAAAAAAAAAGTTTTCTTTAGTACCTGGTTCTGGAGAAACTCCAAGATCAGGTGGTCCCATCAGTTTGTCCTCTGGTGAGGCTATTATGGGGGTGGCATCATGGCAGGAGAGTGTGTAGGAGATCACATAGCAAAACAGGAAGAAAGAGAAACTGACAGTTTAGGCTCACTCTTCCTAACAACTTTCTCAACCATTGGCTAACAAGGGTCCCTAGAGAGCGGCACTAATTTCTGGGGTGATACTCATGACTGAATTGTCTTGCCTCGGCCCTCCTTTTAAAGGTCCCACTACCTCCCAGCACTCCACACTAGGAATCAGACTCCTAACATATGAGCCTAAAGATGGGGGTGGGGTGCTCAGGCCACATCCAAACCACAGCAAAGCCAAATCTGAAGCGTGCTGGCTGTGAGGTCTGGGTATGAATTCCAAGTCTGTCTTCTGGGTGTGATGCTTCCATCCTAAAGGGCTGCTGTAGTGCCAGCACAATAGCTTCCTCAGCAGAATCTGGTGCACTAGAGAGTTTGCTGCAGCATACAATATGGCCATCATCAATATTGGTTGTTTCTCCATTCATCACTATACTCATGTCTTAGCGTATCACCTCAGGAGCTGGAGACCTGCCCCAAGGTTTGGGGTCTTAGGTTGGAGGTAGAGCTTGCCCTTGACTGGACAGAAAAGCTATGTCATGACAGAACCAGGAGGAGTAGGGGAGCAATGGATTATTTTGTATAGCAGCTGTCCTTGGAATGAGAGTTCTTCTTCCATTGTTTTATAGGACTTTTGAGAACATAGGTTTGTTCTTATTTTCCATAGAGACTCCAAGGAGAACTCAGTAAGTACTGATCTGATTTAACTTTCCAGAACATGAGCTTTGACCCCTTTTTGATAAGCAGAACTTCACCATACTGTGTCTTTCGATTTCATTGGGCATTGGGATGAGGGGTGTTCTTGTGCTCAGTGACGGCTGTTTAGAGGTCTGAGGCCTTTGCATGGCAAGCAACTCTGAGTCCCACTCTGACCCATTTTCCTCTAAACAAAGGGATCCAGAAGAACATATCTGAGTGCATATGGAAGGGATGAATGGGACAGGGTTGCTTATGCTAGGGAACCTGAAATCAGATCTGGTCTCAAGGGAAAAGGAAAAGGTCATAAAGAGAGAAGGGGCAAGGCAGGGAAGATAAATATGGCAGGGGTGAGGGTGGGGAACAATCATGTTAGAGGAAGGACAAGCAAACAGTTCCTATTAAAAAAGAAAAGGGACAAAGGTTTCCCTTCTAGAAAGAAAAAAGAGGGCATTTGGGGAGAAAGCTGAGGTTCAACCACAGATCCAAGATCCTTGAAATCAGTGGGAATGTGGGTTCAGGAAATTGTGAAATACCTGGAAATCTCAAAGGACACTCAGCAAAAGAACCAGAGGGAGCAATTGGTTCTAGGTGATCTTTTTTTTTTTAATTTGGTACAGGGACTCACTGTGCAGTTTGCAATCATAGTGATCCTCCTGTCTCAGCCTCCTTAGCACGGGAATTACAAGCATGTACCACCATGGCATGTGGTACTGGGGATCAGTCTCAGGACCTTGTACTTGCCACACAGGTGCTTAGACCACTGAGCTATCTCTCCAGCCCAGCTCCAAGTGATCTGAATGGCTGGGAAGGAGGCTATGGAGCAGCTGGGCACCAGGCTGGCCCTGCCTCCTCTGCCACATCACCCCTGGAGAGCAGCTTGAACTATTGGTTGGGTGCACCAAGGGTTGCAAATCACAAGGGAGAAGGCTTCTTTGAAGTAGCAGTTTTTTGGAAGATGCTTGTCTTAGCACCCAGGCAGGTGAACCCCTCTAGGAGATGTCAGATGAGGTAGAAATTGACAGCCACAGCTGTCGACCACACCAAACCTATTGCAGGCTGTGCCCATGATACCCTGACAATTGCACCATCATCACCTCTTTAACTGTCTCTGACCTTTCTCTTTATCACTCATTGTGTATGTTTCTGTCGCTCGCTATCTTTCTGTCTCACTGTCACTGTACTGTATCGCTATCTCTCTTTCCATGCATCCATGTCTCTCTGCCTCTCTGTATCTCTCTCTTATATCTATGTGTATCTTTCTGTCTCTCTGTATTTGTTTCTCTCTGTATTTCTGTCTCGCTGTTTCTATCTCTTTATCTGTCTCCCCATTTCTCTCAGTATCTCTCTCTCTGTATCTCTGTCTCTGAAGCAGTATCTTTGCTTTTTTCTCGTGATCTGTTTCCATCCTGCTGTGTCTCTGCCTCATCTGACTTCGTATCTCAGTCTCTATCTCAATTTCTGTCCCTGTCTTCCTTTGTGTCTGTTTCTGTCAGTTGCTCAGTCTCTGTCTATCTGTATCTCTGTGTCTCTCTCTCTTCTGCACATAGGGCTTGAGAGACCCCGAGCAAGCTCAGTACACACACCAGCACACTGGAGATGACCTGGCTAGGCCTGCCTCACTACCTCTGGGACTTTCCAGCTTCCTGGCTGTGTGTCTCCCTACTTGAGGACAGGGTGTTGGAAAGGGTTGCAGGCACAGGACATGGGGACAGCAAAAGCAGCCCAGAGATGGAAGAGACACACTCAGGGATATGAGAACACAAGTTCAGTACCTAAGCCACTCTCTTCCTACAGTGAGCCCATCCCTGGACACTGACACTGCAAGTCTCAAAACTCACTGTGTCTGAGGATCAGAAAAGCGTGCGATGGCTACTCTTCAACCTGGACCAGACCCCTAGCTCCAAGAGCTTTGAGGAAGACCCCTGCATCCTGGCCCAAGAGCTGTTCTGGGCTGGGAGGTACTACTGGGAGGTTGAGGTGGGGGACCGGAAGGCCTGGATTCTGGGTGTATGCCTGGAGAGTGTGGATCAGGTAGGCAGGGTCCCCAAGGTCCCCCAACATGGCCTCTGGGCAGTGGAGCTTTACAAGAAGAAATTCTGGGCCCTCTCCTACCCCAGGATTTGTCTCTCTCCATCCCAGCTGCTCCATAGAGTAGGCATTTTCCTGGACTGCGATGCAGGAGAGATCGCCTTCCACAATGTGGCTGATGACTCCCTGATGTACACATTCCATGGACTGACTTTTTCTGGTCCCTTGCAGCCATTCTTATGCCTCTGGACCCATGACCCCCGGCCCCTGACCATTTGCCCTCCCAGGGCCTCTGACTTCCCCCAGGGGACTCCTAGGAGTCAGTTAGGTGGAGAACAGCACCCACATTCTCCTTGTTACTGCCGCTGGTAACAGCTACTATGGCCTGATATAAAATAATGCTAACATTTCAGGAGCTGAATTGTGTCTCTCCCCAAAAGTCCAGTGAGATCCTGGCTTCCCGAGCATCACTATTGTGACTGCTTCTGGAGAATGGGCATTTAAGGAGACAATAAAGGTAAAATTAGGTCATTTGGATGGCCCTTAGCCACACAGGTGTGTATCTTCTCAGGGACATCAGGACACAGACACACAGCAGAAAGACCCTGAGAGGACTACGAGAAGGGCCATCTGCAAGCAGAAAAGCTACCCTCCCTCTTCCCTCCTTCTTCTTCCTCTTCTCCCTTCCTGCCTTCCCTTCCTCCTCCTCCCCTCCTCCCTACCATCCTCCTCTTCCCTCCTTGTTCTCCTGCTACTCCTCCCAGTAATCACGCAGTCATCTGGTCAACCTCAAATCCTTTTTCTCTCCCTCCCTTGCTGTGACAGGTTAGTGCAAGCCATGCAGAGGGCAAGCCAAAGATCCCATGATTCCCAAACTTACCCTTGGCATTGAGTTCAGTCAGGACAGAAACTACACCAGCTATTCAATAGAGAACATACTAGGCTTGTATTAACATCAAATCTCTGTCCTCTGCCTGTCTCTGTGCTTTAGTGCTCTCTTGCCTTTCTCATAGGCTCATCAAGTTCGAAGCCTACTCTAAGATAGGAGATCACACCTTGAGATTCATGTCTTAATTATGTCTGCAAAGACTTTTTCCAAAGAAGTCCCATTTACAGGTGCCAGGGTTGAGACTTGGGCCTATTTTAAGGGCCCTCATTCAGTCTACCGCTGCCAGTGTGGAGCTGGGTAACACTGTCACACTTCTCCCCAGGTCAGGAAGAGCAAGGATCACTTAGGAACCTCTCAGTGTTGCAGGCAAAAAAAAGCAAGTCCTACTGTTCCAGACTCAGGGTGCACAGTACGGCTTTGTCTGGTTGGTGGAGTGGCCAGGAAATGCCATGGAAGTGTGTGGCCCTGATCTGAACTTCAGAGAAAAGCTGGAATTTGTACAGACCAAAACAGGGTAGGATTAGAGAAAAGCCCTTGCTCAAGAGTGAGCCCAGGGCCTTCCTGCTAGGCTACATCCTAAACCCTTTTTGTTTTAAGACAGGTTCTTGCTAAGTTGCAAAAGTTGAGCTCACCCTCTAGTCTTAGCCTCCTTTTCACCATAGCTTATAGTATCCTTAAGGTGATACATTTCTAAAATATTTTATCCTCTTTTTTTTCACTAGCATGACATTTATATGATTTGGGGTCTCATACACAGTCATGTAGCAGCACCACCAAAAGCTTGGACATTTTCTCACAAAAGATTCCCTGGAATCTGTTGGAATTTGATCCCTGCCTCCATCCTCCATCCTAGGCAACCACTGACCTGCCCTCTACAGCTTGTTTTAGTTTGATTTCTTTGTGACTCATTAATGCTCTTTATTTGGAAAAACAGAAAAAGGGGTCAGTTTAATTTGTTATTGAATGGAGCCTAAAACCATCATTTTATCTGTTTTCTATGTGACTTATCTGCGTGATAAGCCCTTCTAACCTGATCTGGATTTCTCTCACATGAGACTCCTAAATATAAACAAAGAGTAAAATAAAGAGGAGATGGTAAGAAACAGAGAAACACACTTTTGAAAGATGGTAAAGGGGTCAGAGAAAATGTGAGGGGGGTAAGTGGGGAGATGGCAAGTGATCAGGATAAGATTTATACCTGTACCAATTCCCCAAAAGGAATGTAAATGTTCTGTATAGCCAACATAGACAAATAATATCAAAAAATTATTCACCTGCCTCTTTTATTATCAGGAGTTTTATTTTAATTTTTGTGTTGGAACACTCAAGGTCTGCTTATGAGCAACTTCGAATAAGCATGCCAGGATTGCTGCTGTTGGCATCACGCTGTGAAGCTGAGCTCCATATCCACGATCGTTGCCTCTTACTGCCCACTCTCAGTTCTAGAAACCACCACTTGACCCTCTCCTGCTATGATTTTGACTGCTTAAAGTGGGATCATAAAGTATTTGTCTCTCTGTGCCTGGTTTATTGCACTTAGCACAATACTCACAGATTCATCCAAGGGGTGGTAAATGACAAGATTTGTTTTCTTAAGGCTAAATAAAAGTTCAACTACAAAATCTAATTATAGCAACAACAATGATAATAATCATCACCATCATCACCATTTGATTTTAAAAGGAAGGGCTTAAATAGACAATCCTCTGAAGACATACAAATGGAAACTGCCAACAAGTGCACGAAGACATCACTAATCATTAGGAGCTGGTGCTATCACTTGGCACCTGTGAGATTGGCCTTTACCAAGAAATAACAATAAACTCAACAATGTGATGGGAATGAAAATTGGTTCAACTTTTAGGGAAAACAGAAGGGAAGCACCTCAAAAAGTTAAATATGGAGTTGTCATATGATCCAGTGGTCCCAATAGGTAAAACTCAGAAGAAAGACTCTATGTTGACACACCTGCACACCCATGTTCACTTCAGCACTCTTTATACTAGCTGAGACACAAATATGATCTAGTTGTCTTTTGATGGGTGGCTGGATGAATAAGATAAGCACACACCTTCCAAGGCCGACCCCTACTTTACTCACATCCCTCCATACAGGCAACACAGATAGACATGGAGCCCACTGGGAATATAAAGACCCTGCTGGGCCATGCTGCTCTTCTTCAGCAACAGGACAACTTCAGATACCTATGCCCACTGCAGGTAACCCCAGTCCCAAAAGGATCCCCTCCTGCTCATTGGACTCCTGAGGCTCCTGATAGTCAGATCAGGGCTTCTAGAACCTCATAGAAGGAGATGCCAGCCCTCCTAGCAGGCCCTGGCCAATAGTGACACCAGCATCCTACTCTGGCATCCCCTCACTGCCACACTGAATTGTGCCCCAGTTCCCATGAGAAGTACAAGTCCCCAAGACTGGATAACTCTGGACACTTGTGACAACCCAAAGACATTGAGGTGTCTTTTAGGAAAAGCCTTTTCAAGAGCAGACTGGTGCGAGGCAGCCAGCTTATCCTGCTAATGAACTCTGGCATCACAAGTTCAAATTCTTCAGCATGGAATGTGGCTTCTCCCAAGCACTGTGTAACCATGGAAAGGCCTGGTGACTGCGCCTGCCCTTGAGGTACAGGCAATAAGCAGCCACCCCCTCCCATCCCACAAACCTCCTGCACCTGCCCCCACTGCTAAATGCCTTACAGGAAGCTCTGTCATTTTGCAGGATGGAACTACAGAACTGGCTAGTGGGTATCAGGGTGGCCTTAGAATAGGACTGGATACGGGGACTGGGCCTGGATCTGTTATCCAGTAGGACATAGAACTTTTTTGATATCTCTATCCAAAAGGATAGGATAGTATGAAAGGCACCACACCTGTGGCCTGCAAGATGAATGTGTCTCTGATATCACCAGGCCTGAAGGGCCAAGACCCCAAACCAGGTGTGTCAATGACCTGAGCTCCAAGTCCAAATTAGGGCCCTCCAAGACTAAGGCACTTGTCCACAGATCACCACTCCCTAACCCTAATGCTAACATCATCGCTGGAGTCAGGGTTTGCAAAGAAAACAATACTGGACACACAATTTATAGGATTATTTTATAAGTCACCCAAAGAGTCATACACAAAAAGGGTGCAAGAAATCTGTCCACACACTAAAGATAAAAAGAACCCAGTTGAGGGCTTGGATTCCATAGCAATGTCCTACATGGCCCAGCTAAAGACCTATAGCCCATAACAATGTCCTCCATAAGTCCAACTGGAGGCCAAAATCTCACAAGAATGTCACATGCAGGCCTGTTTCACAGGTCTGTGCTGGGAAGGCACAAAGGTCAGTAGTGGAAGCTAGAAAACCTGTTCCTGTGTGATGAGGGATCTGTGCCAGCAGGCTGAGGGATCTGCACTAGAGCTAGCAAGTAATACTCAAAGAACCAGAGCTCCCATATAAAGTACCACAGCCATCCTCAGCAACAGTGAGGTCCCAAGCTCCTCTGATGATGAGAACAGCTGAGTTCCTATCAGAAAAGCCAACAAAATGAACTTCTCTAGAAGACTGAGCAATGCCCCGTCCTTCCCTCTGGAATCAGGAAGTGGTGCCCAAAGTAAGGGCCAGAACTTCCCCAAAGTGAACTGCAATCATTCTTAGAACAACGAGGTCCCAAGCTCCTCCGATGACAGGAACTGAGTTCATTAGGAATCCCAGCATGGTAAGCTTCTTCAGGAACAGCAGCCCCAGGGAAACCAACAGCTTCTCTTCTTCTTCTCCAGTTCTGCCTCTTATGCTGCCAGGAACAACCCTCAGGTGGGTGCCCCACAGCCAGCATTGGCTGGTGTTATGAGTGGACCACCAGCGGCCAACCCACCACAATCATGGAGGTGCCCAGCAAGTTGCTTCAGCAGTTCTCTGGGCACTGGCCCCAACCCCTGGGGGTCCCAGGCCATACCCTCAGAGAATTCAGGTAAGCAAGCAGAGGGGGTCCACCACATCACCTTCTCCCCTTTCTACTCTTGCTCTCTCGGTCTCATCTCTCCCTCCCTCTTTCTGTTCCTCTCTCTCTCCTTCAGGTACTAGGGATTGAACCCAGGATTTTAGCACTGAGCTACATGCCCAGCCCTCTTGGTTTCTTATTTAGAGACAGGGTCTCTACTAACTTGCCAAGCTGGACTGGAAATTGGGGTTTTCCTGCTTTAATCTTCCGAAGTGCTTCCCCTCACACTCTTTATAGTGTTTCCCTTTTATGTTATGGAGCCCTACTTTCTTCTTGGCTCCCACTCTTCATTTGCTTTGTAAAATGCCCAATGACTATCATATAAATGCCAATTATTTTCCAATGGATTCTATGTCCTATTGTAGCACAGTCAAATACATGTAACGTTTAAATTAAAAGTAAAAAACTGCTGGCTGTGGTGGCACATGCCTGCAATATCAGCACTCAGGAGGCCAAGGCAGGAAGATGCCCATGAGTTCAAGACCAGCCTGGGCTAGTGAGTTGAGGCTAGCCTGAACCACGTAGCAAGACCCTGTCAAAAAAAAAGGCATGTAAAAATTAAAAATTGTATTATAGTAAAAGACATAATACCATTGGTCCCTTCAAAATCTTTCCCCTCATTTTGAGCATACTTATTCCATCATTCCTGGTACTTTCTGAATCAGTTCTGGAAGTCTTCTTCCCTGAACTTCTTTATAAGATACAATGAAAAATACAGTGAGTGCTCCAGCCAAGCACCATCTGAGCGAAAGGCAGCTCCTAAAATAATGACAGTGTGCCCTCAGCCACCTTATTCACCGGACCTGAAACCATGTGATTTCTGGAGCTTTTCATGGTTAAAATGATCGTGAAAGATGAACATTTTTAACCTATTCAGGACACCAAGACAGCCACAATAGCACAACTAAAGACACAACAGAGGACTCTGGAACTGCTTCAGGAAGCAAGGATGATGGATAAGTATGTTTGAAGTGAGAGGGAGGTTTTTGAAAGGGATTCATGGCAAGGTGTCTTTTACTATAATGATATTTTAAAATTTAAACATTCACCATATTTTTCAGTCATACCTCTTATATTCCCGGTTAAAAATCTGTCCTTAACAACTTCAGTGTTTTGATTTAGCATTGATAAGAGAGAATAAGAAGTGAACATCATTTACCCAATATTTTACCGGGCACTCCCTTATAGTCCTCTGGCTTCTGGCTCCCCAGCAGATGTTTGTGGTGTTTGTCCATGTACATGACTTTTGTGGCAGTTGGTCATTGTAAGCAAGGTTTGGTAGGAGCTGTGATGCCCAGGGAAAAATGACAGTGTAGTGGTGGGCAATGGGGGGGAGCAATAGCTAACTCAGGTACCAAGTTCCAAGAAGAGACACAAGGGGCTGGGGAAGAAGAAAAGAGAAGTATCAGCAGCTCCCCTCTTGATTATTTATTTGGTATCCATCAAAGGACCCCAAAGCTTCAGTTGCCTTGATAGGCTTTGTGGTGGTTCTTCTGCAGCGGCTGGGACATTGGATATTGGACTCCGAGGCCACAACAACCTCTTCCTCCTTGTGGGTGGGACGCCTGTTGCAGGCAGCACCTGATGATCAAAAGAGCCTGCTGTCACTCGGCAGCTACAGCCCCGCTCTTGACGATCAAGCCTGTCTCTTCCCAGCACCCTGCCTATGAAAGCCAAGGCCAGCGTGGTAAAGGAAGGGTTTTAACCATTTGGAAACGGATAGAGAATTTGGATTCATGCTGGACAGGGCTTGCCACAAAACATTTATACAGGGGCCTGGGAGATGGCTCAGTGGAATAAGCGCTTCCCTGGCAAGCGCAAGGGCCTGAGTTCAATCCCCAGTTCCACAAAACAAACAAACAAACAAACAAAAAAAACTTTATACAGAGCAGTGAAGGGGGCCGGGGAGATGGCTCAGTAGAATAAGTGCTTCCCTGGCAAGCACAAGGGCCTGAGTTCGATCCCCGGTTCTGCCAATTAAAAAAAAATTAAAAAACAAAAAAAACAAAAACAGAGCAGCGAAGGTTCCGCAGCCCAGGATTATCATTGGCTGCTCTGCAGAACACTTAGTCCAATCAGAAAAAAGGCTGGAAAGCACTCTCTTTAGCATGCACCCCACTAGCACAGCTAGAAGGCAGCTGTTTTGCGTCACCTCTGTCATCTCTGTAGGTTAGAAGCCAAAGACCTGGCATCCACCTTAGCCCGCTCCTTCTGTGGAAGGACAGGGACCTACCTTGGCACCTGGAGCAGACAGTTGGGAAGGGAACACAAATGCATTATGTCTGCGGGGTCTTAGTGGAAGTGGACACCAAACCTGGAGACTGGCAACCTGATCTGTGTACTATATACAAGGAGGGTGTGCAACCCTGTGTGGAGACAGTGAAGGGTGGAGGCACCTAGGAGAGTGGTCCCCAGCTGTGCTGAGAAAACCTTTCTCTGCACCTTGAAAGTTCACCATGCCTTCAGCCTAGCTTGTGTGTGGGGCTGTGCCTCTAGCCCACTTCCCAACCCCAACCCCAGGGGCTGCCTGGCCAGGTAAGAGCTGCTCACAGGTCACTCCTGTCCTAGGACCTAGTTACTCTCTATAAAAAGGCAACCTGAGCTGGGACAGGCCTAGCCCCCTTTTCCCACTATGCAGCTTCTGTCTCTTTCTTATATTGTGATTCCCTTCATCCCCCTTTCTCCTCAAACGTGTTCTGCCATTTCTCATCTCACAGGCATCAGGTTCCATTGTTTTATATTTGAGGTGTCCTTTCCAACCACAGACTTATGCCTGCCCACGTTTAGGCAGGGCCCTTTTTTCACACCTTTTGGTGTCCTGAATCCTTGCCTCGCCATGTATATCTGGCTTACCCATTCTTCCAGGGCTCTGGCATCCATGGTGCTAACCCCATTTCACCTTCACCTCTCCAGAGAGGACATTGGGTGCCTCCCTGCCTGCCACCACCTGTAATGGTGCCCTCACTGTGAACCTGGGAGAAGGTGGCAAGTGTTGTGTCCTTGGGCCACTGTGCCCTTTATCTGATGAGAATGAGACACCCCTCTGCACCCACCAGCAGAGGCTGGGAGGTAGAGGACAGGAAACTGCTTTCTTGCCTACCCAGTCTAACAGGGTCAAGTCATCAGCCTTATCAGAGTGAAGTGTTCATTGCTCAAAAATCTAATGAGCTCTCTGAGAGGCTAAGACAGGAGGTTACAAGTTCAAGTTCTGGACAACTTAATGAGACCTTGTCTCAGAAATATTCTAAGTGTGGTGGTGCAGGCCTGTACTCCCAGCATTCAGAAGCATGAGGCAGGAATATCACAAGTTCTATGGCATACTGGGCTAACCAGTGACTTCAAGGCCAGCCTGGGCTATATAGTGAGATCCTGTCTCAGAAAAAAAATGAAAAAGAGAAAGGAAGGAAGGAAGGAAGGAAGGAAGGAAGGAAGGAAGGAAGGAAGGAAAAGATTGATTTTTTTTTTTTTCTTAATTTCATCCTGGGGACCTGGGGATATAGTTCAGTGCACAGACCCAGAGTTTAATCTGCAACAAATCCCAAATTGAGGCATCTCTCATTAAGGCTTTGAGCCTTTTTGGCTTCCATTATAGACTGAAGATGTCTCTCCCCCAAAATTCATAATGAAAACTTCCCACCCCCAATTCTTGAGACCCATCCCCTATTGACAGTTCCTCACCACTGCCCTACCCTCAGCTGGTGTCTGGTCCCCTGGCACTTTCAGCAAGAGTCCTGTTCACTGGTTCAGCCAGAGCCCTTCATTCCCTACACATGGACCCCTCCTGCTTCTGAGTTGCAGGTTCTCACTCCCCCACACTGAGTTTAAGGCAAAGCCTGATCTCCCCAGTGTGAGACCCTCTGCAGTGGCCACACACCCATCATACTGCTGCTGGAAGAAGTTTGCCCTACTGTGCCTTAACCAGTGTCACTGTGATTTCTCCTTAACCCTGCTGCATAGGAAGCAGCCAGAGGCATGACAAGAGGCAAACAGGCTGGAGCAAGCCCACTTTATTTAGCCACCATATCCAAGCCCAGGGATGCCACAGACAGGAACTGTCCTCCCAAAATGGCCCCACCTGACACCCCATCAAGCCCTAAACCACATGCTGCATTGAATCTAAATTCACATCTGTATCTCTGTTCCCTGGCCTGGTGACTCTCCATTCCAGATTAGGGTTTTGTCATCCGGACTAATCTACACATGACACTGTAAACAACAGTGTAATGACTACATCATGCATGTGGTGAACCAGAAGAAACAAGAAGCAAGAAGCAGCCAAGGACACAGAAGGGTGATACCCCAGGGTGGGCCTGGAGATGTCTTGGGGACCCCTGCCCCTCCCTTGTGGAAAGGAGTCCCTTCCACAAGAGGGAAGGGGGGTGTGGGAATGATCTGGAGTCACTGACAGCAGCCAAGGGGCAGAAACTAAGCAGGGATAGTCCAGGGCAGCAAGGCCCAAGGGAGGACCTTCAGAAGGGCCAAGGGCATGCCATTCCTTCCTTCCCTTCCTGCAGGAGCTGGGTCACATCCAGTGTGATCCTCCCTTGGCACCAGCCTCAAATCCAGCCATTAGTTGTATTCCCTTGTCTGGGGAGAATATCCTGTGACCAGCCCTTCCTGCACACTGGGAAGATGTACAGGCTGTGTGATCAGGCGAGGAGCAGGCAATACACTGGGGAGGGCTCAAGACTAGACTCTGTAAGACAATAGTGCAACCTGCACACTCACAGCTCGAGGAGGGGAAAGCAACACTTGGCTGAGACGTGGACCTTTGGGCACCAGCACTGCTTCAGCTGCTCCGTCCACGGTGGCAGGTGATGGTCACAGAAGGGACCCAGCGGGTGATGGGTGGGGCTGCTGCAGTCCAGGTCTGCAGGGTGGTCCCTTGTGCCCTCGGGCACAGGGGGACCTAGCTGGACCAGTGCCTTCACTGCAGGAAGGGAAAAAACGGAGAGAGACAGAGACAGAGATGGAGATGGAGACAGAGACAATGAGAGACAGATGGAAACAGAAAGATAGAGAGGAAGAGACAGAAATAAAGACAGAGACACAGGGAGATAGAGAGTAGGAAGAAGATAAGGAAAGAGATACAGAGGTCAGAAGACAGTTTAACAGACAGAAAGAGAAAGAGACAGAGACAGAGAGAGAGAGAGAAAGAGAGAGAGAGAGAGAGAACGAGCAAGTGCGAGCTACTATCCTAGGCACCACAGAACCATACCAGAGGCCGTAACACCCACCCAAACAGGCCCAGCCCTCCAACCCTGGCACAGCTGGTACAAACATGGGCAGGATTGGCCCCAGGCCAAACCTGAAGGCTGTTCTGGCTGCTCCAGCCCCTGGAGCCCATGGTGGGAACCTCAGTGCTCCCACACCCAGTCCCAGATGGAGGCCAAGAACGCCTATTTCTTCCTCAGTCTCCATCCACTCCCCACATGCAGCCAGAGGCATGATGTCTGCAGTTTCCACTACTCAGTCAAGGCCTTCTTCCTGATGGGCCTCCCACTCCAGGCACAATACCTGTAGCAGCATGCTTAGGCCCAGACTGCGATGCTTCTTCTCCAGCTCCAACACGGCCTGCAGCAGAGACTGGAACCGCTCAGCTGGGTCAGTGGGCTCATCCTCCAGGACACCTTCTTCCTTCCCAGCCTCTTGCAGAAAGCGCTCTTCTTCCTCTGCAAAGAAGGCCCGAAGCTTCCTGTAGTCAGTCAGGGCCTTCTTCCTGCGGTCCATCACATGTCCCTGTAAGCAGGCAATGGAGAGGACATCTCTGTTCCTGGGCCCATCTTCCCAACCCTGCAGTACAAGAAACCTCTCTGCACTCAATGGAGTCCAGATTGCAAGATCCTAAACAACGCTACCCAGCACTTTGAAGTGTGAGGCCACTCTGGCCTCTGCTGTTTCTCGAAGTGGACAAAATCTCCACAGACACCCTCTGCTGTGGTCCCCATGGATCGCCAGAGATGGACATGCAGGAGACTGGTCTCAGTCTAGGCACTGAGGCAGTGGGGCCCAGGGGAAGGTGGCCCAGGAACCCCAAGAGCAAGGTGGTATCAACAGAGCAAGTCTCTCCAGCTTCCTACTGCTTCCACATCCCCCACTGCAATGCCACCTATCATGGGGCCCTCATCACAGCTGAACACAAGGTGCTACCTAGCTTATGTAGCCCCCAGACCTGTGAGCTACATAAACCTCTTTTGTTTATAAAACACTCAGGCCTGGGAATTTTGTTATAGTATTAGAAAGTAGGCCAGTGCACCCTCTCTGTAATAAAGAAACAATGGGCATTCCTATCATCCAGGCAGAGAGGACTCTCCACAGACCTTGTTAAAATAGCTCTTATCTTTATGCTTCTCAACATCATGCAGTTTCTTTTTCACCCCAACTCAGTCTGTAATGACTGGATTCTAATTGCTGCTTTGGGTCTTCCTTTCCTCACAAAGGCTTTGTATCCCCCAACAAACCTGTGAAGGACGTGTCTGTTCTCCACATTCATCTGTCTTATACCAATTCAACGCTCTGGCCCAGCCTGGAAAGTGTCTCCTTCTATATAGGCATCCCTTCATCTTCCCAAGGATGAGTTCCAGGACCCTTACCCGGTGGATGCTAACATGTGGATCTTTGAGCCCCCTCCATAAAAGGGTGCTGGATTTGCACAGCACCTATGCACATTGCCCTGTGAACCTTAAACTGTAACGCCTAACACAACGTAAACACTATGTAGTTAGTTATTCTTCTGCCTTGCTTAGGGAACAGTGACAATAAATGTCTGTCCATGTAAAGTACCAATGCAGCCATTATGAGACACAGGGCCAGCATGACACACAGGGCTGACCCATGACCCCACCACGTCCCTCCCTCACAGTCTGGCACATAGCTGTCTCTGGGAGCACATTCACCTTTAGGACTCTCATATCACTCCATCAGAGCACCAGCAACCCTTCACCCAGGAAGCAGGAGTGAGGAACGATCTGCTCAGACTCACACAGCACCCCCCGGACCACAGAGCACAGAGTCGGCCATGGTCAGAAGACCAGAACACGCAAAGGAAAGGGACTCCAGCTGGTTTTGCCCAACTCTAGGAAAGACCCACAAAACACATCCTATAAAAATATCCTGGGCTGAGTCCACCCAAAGCCCCTCTCCAGCCCATGCCCTGCATCCAAAGGACCTCCATCCCCCACATTCCCACTTGCCTTCCAAACAGCAGCAGCAGACTCCGCCTGGCCATGTAGATCCCGAGCATCATTCAAATCCTTTCTCATGATTTCAACAGATCCCTTGTTTTCCTGGGAGAGAGAAGCTGCACACTGGAAGGCAGGCAGGAGGTCCAGGGCCCAGCCCAGCCAGCCTGGGGGACTCATATCACTGATCCCAGTAAATCTGTTGTAGAAATAGCCCTAGTGCAAGTTTGATTGCCACATCCTGAGCAAAAGAAAAAAGGCTACAGGCACCATAACATGTAGCAGATGGTCCATAATCCCCACCTTCCAGGAGATGGCCACGGCCCAGGAAGCTCTTCAGGGTAGCCTGCAACCGATATTTTTAAGGAGGTTCCTTCTAAGGGGGACTTAGTTCAAAAAGGCCTGCTCAGCCATCTCAGCAACTTGCTTCAGGAAAGGGACAACAGTACAACAATAACTCCAGGACAGTCCAGGGCACAGCCTGAACCTTTCCTCCAGGGTGCCCTTGATAGCAGCCCCAGGTCCCAGGAAAGCTCATCAACCCAGCCCTGCTTCTTTCTCCCTGCACAGGGCCCAGGTGCGTGGGCAGCACCCAGAGACCCACACACACTCAGAAATGACACTGATCCCCAGCCACCCTCCAGAGGTGCAGTTCCAGGCCCGAGGGACCCAGCTCTGGCTAGGTGAGTTTCTGCACAACAGCAGCTGCCAAATGTAGTAGCCAAAATTACAGCAAAGAAAGTTCAAGAACAGGGTGCACAGGGTGTGCCTGGTGGTAACCTCAGAGGATAGAGGTGCTGGGCCAGCTATAGAATGCCCACTGGAAGACTGGGGCCACATCCTGGTCCCCAGGACAGAATAAGGCAACCTTCTCAGGGGCCATCCTTGGGAGATCTATAGAAGGGGAATATATGAACCTCTAGGATGAGAGGAAGGGAAAAACAAGGTCCAAGATGGAGCAGGACTCATGGCACTGCAAGGTCAGGTGCTGTCATGGGGAGGTGGACACTGCAACCGCTGGAAGGGAAGTCTAGCACCCAGAGTAGAAAGAGCAAGGACCCCGGGGTGGGGAGAGGTGAGGACTCACAGAAGAGGACAGAGGGGCAATGGCTGCCAGAGAACCATGAAGGCCGGGGCTGGAGAGCAATTCTGGTTCATCGGGACCTCAGGGAGGGAAGGTCAAGATGGGTCTGGACTCTGCGGGGTCCCCGGGGTGAGGTGGAGCGGTCAGAGCAGGGGTCGGGGCTCCGCGGAGTCGCCCCCATACCGCGCACCTTGCCGCGCAGCGCTCTCCTCCAGCGCGGCTCCCACTCTGGCGGCGCGGGGCCAGCGGCCATTCGACACGCGGCACACAGCGGGTCACCGTCGGCGCGACACAACAGCTGCAGAGCTGCCTCGCTAGCCGGGCCATCGCGAGAGGGTCCCGAGGCCGCTTCCTCCAACGCCAGCAGGCGGCGGCTGAGCGGTGGACGGCTGGACTCTACCGCGCGCTGCCAGCAGTCCTCAGTGCACTCGGGGCAAGGGAAGGGCCCGTCCTCCTCCGCCCAAAAGCGCACCACGCACGCCCGGCAGAAGCGGTGGCCGCAGTCGGCGAGCACGGGCTCCCGGGGCGCGCGCTGGCACAGAGCGCAGGCGGCCTCCGCAAGGCCAGCGGGGAGCGCCAGGGCTGTGGCTGCGGCGCCGCGAGGGCGCAAAGGCGCGAAGGCAGGGGTGAGGGGCAGCAGGCTGTGGCCGCAAAACCAGAGCGAGACTGGGATGGAGAGCTGCAGCGGAAGCGACGCCAGAGACACGCGGGGCGGGTCTTGGAGGCCGAGCGCTCGGAGACGGGTCCTGGCAGAGGTGTGTTCTGAGTTGTGATCCTAGGTCCTGGCAGCCTCGCGTTCCGACCTGGGTCCTGGAAGCCCTGCAGTCCACGAATAGAGTTGTGGCTACTGCGCACTCTCTTATTCTATGAATACATGTCCTGATGACCGTGGCTCCAAGCATGCTGCAGGCTAGCCCTTGTCCGCGCTTTATTAAATCTTACTACAGCTCCCATTAATAAATACATAAATCAATCACAGACAAGAGGGAAACAAAATTATATTATTTGGAAAGTCCTTTGTTGTTGTTGTTGTTGTTGTTTGTTTGTTTTTGTTTTTGTTTTGGTCTTTTGTAAGCGACTAGGACCTAGGCGGTGACCGCCTAAGTTCCACAACCTCCCGAGTTGGGTGGACCCGAGGGCTTCCCTCTCGGGTCGCGGAAGTCCTCTCGAGAACCTGTTACAGTGATCCTTTCCTGCGCGCACTCGCCCCGGTAGATGTGCTATTCCTGAGAGGGCTCTCCTTTGGCTGGCCTTCCCTGTGTGGGCGTGACTCCCATGCACTAGTTCTGAAAGTCCCGCCCTGCGTGGACCTCTCCTGGGGGGTTGGAGGGGGTCCGTCCTTGCACACACGTCCATCCTTGTCCACCACCCCGGCTTGGGGACCTCCCTGCGTGGATCTGTCATGTGCATAATCTCCAGGCAGTTCCTCCCTCCTGGCTTCAGGGTGGGCCAGAGGTTTTCCCCAGGGTCAAGGGTGGATTCCACAACCCAAGATGTCAGATAAATATGTGTCACTTCTTTGGGAGGAGCAATCTTTTTTTTTTTTTTTTTTTTAATGTATTTAGTACAGGGTTTACAGGGTCTCACTGCACAGATCAGACTCAGTGATCCTCCTGTTTTCAGCCTCAAACTCTGGGATTACATGCCTCAAACTCTGGGATTACAGCCTCAAACTCTCATTACTCTGTGGTACCATCACAGATCAGTCTCAATCTCAGCGTGCCCCAGGGCCTGGGCTGGCATGGCAAGCTGGGGACCGAACCCCGTTCCCGAGCCTGCCTAAGCAGGCATTTTAGTTCGCTGAGCTATCTAGCCGGCCCTTATTAACTTTTAAATATGAAAACAAGCCGCTTTATTTGTTTAAGCCATTTTAAATGACACTGTACAAATTAAAACTATGCAATCTATTTTTTTAATATCTCTTTCCATACAAGTGCAAGCTATTGTGAAACATCACTGTGTGAGGGGTGTGTGTGTGTGTGTGTGTGTGTGTGTGTGTGTGTGATCAATGTAGTGTAGACTTGGAAATGCATTAAATGAATAGTTGGTAGTGTGAACAGTAAATTAGCTGTATGTAGCAGTTATTGGAAGGCTTCAAGGTGAGCCTGATTTGTTTGACTTGTTAAACTAGAAATACTAGTTTAACAACTAGTCAAGGAAAAGTGAAATAATTTAGTTTAAAATGGACAAAACTCCACATTCCCAATTTCTTATACGTATGAACAAATTGCCTTTCCCAAAAAGATAAAAGCAATGTGTGGGTGTCTATTTCACAATGCCCTTATCAAATCCAGTTATTAGCACTTACAAAGTCATTAGTGACATTTTTTTAAAAAAATTTTTTAGAAATATATAGGAAATCTTTGCTGGGGATTTCAGGTTACAGAGGGGCAAGGAAAGGGGACATTGGAACCCACCCAGCCTCTACCCCGCCCCCAGGCTGGACCCCATCCTTGGAGGCTGAGCCTTTCCAGCTTTCTGAAGCTGCCCTTTACTCTGTCCTCCCACAGTTTTGTCTGAGTGTGGAATCTATGGGATTTGTACACATTGTGCTTTCTTCGCACTTTCCTGATTCCTTGGATGTCACTGAAATATCCATGGGACCCAGAGACACCAAGACTTGTAGGATTGGGCTTCCTCCATTGATTTCTGCCACCCTCAAGGAACGTAATGACAGTTTTCACGGAGAGAAATTAACGGTATCATTGGGGTGGGAAGGTCACTTGGACTGAGGAACAGATCTCCAAAACCCACTATGAGGCAGCAGCGGTGTCTCAGGGTTCACTGAGTCCCCCAGGATGCTGGTTGGGCAGGAGGATGCCTTGGGCACTATGCTGTGTAGGTGGTGCCTACTAAATGCACACATACCTGGTGAGCAGAAGCTGGTGTGAACCCTAGTTCACTCCAGCGTGGATCACTGGGCTCTTGTGCTTGCCTGTTGCTGGCAAGTGCAAAACTTTCATTTGCTGAAATATAAGAGACAAGAACCGCACTTCTGCCGACAAGGGTGGGGGCTGTTCATGCCCTCCAGCAGTCTCCACCTAGATGTCCACACACACCACCACCACCAAGTTTGTGAGAGTGGGGTCCCTGTGCCCGGTCCCCAGCATGCCAGACATCCTACAAGCTGCACAGAGGGCAAAAGACACCCAGACCCTCTTTTCCCCCTTATAAGAGTCTCACAATCTCTGCAAAACTGCACATGTGCCCTATCCTTGTAGCTGCTCAGTTCTAGATCCCACATGCCAAGACTTGTCCCACTGGGGCCTGAAGTCCTGCTTCCCCTTAAGTGACCAAGAGGAGACATCAGGTATGAGGGGAACTCTGAATAGACCCACTAAACAGGATTCTTGCTGAAGGCTGGCACAGCAATCATGTAACAGGGACTTAGAGGTTGGGCCTGCAGAGATCCAATATGTAACTAGAGGTAGGATATGAAGCTGGCACCTCTACCTTCATCTTACATCTGCCTTATTATCTTAAAAGTGTGCATCAGCTTCCTGTTCAGTTCTGCATGTGGGCATTCTGATCATTATGGAGTATTATGATGTGTTTTGTTTTGTTTTGTTTTGTTTTGTTTTGTTTTTTGGGGGGGTTCTTTTTTTTCTTTTTTTTTTCTTTTCAGAACCGGAGACTGAACTCAGGCCCTTGCGCTTGCGAGGCAAGTGCTTATTCTACTGAGCCATCTGCCAGCCCCTTGTGATATTTGTTGACCCTAAATATGCCTACTCTGTCTCATCCCCCTTCAGACTGAAGATACCAAGCAAGAATAAAGTAATTTTCAGGACTTGCTGGGACACCAATTGCCAGATTTTATAATGTCCAGTCCAGACCCTCTGGCACAATGCCTACAAGTTTTCTTTGTCCTAAACCTAGAGCCATCTGAGACTTCAGGAAAAGCAGAATGTTGCACAATGTGTCATCTCCCAATACCAATTGGAAATGATTATCCCATGATAGGAACTGAGGCTGTCTCCCCACAAGTAGGGGCCCTGAACTCATGATGGAAACCAAGTTGATACCTCAAGTGCAATGATGGCTCTTCCAGAACTTCACAGACCCATCCTGAGATAACCATCCACATGACCATACTTGCCAGCATGACCTATACTTCAAACTGGGCCAGGGAGATTGCTCAGTAGAATAAGTGCTCGCCTGGCAAGCGCAGGGTCCTGAGTTCAATCCCTAGTACCACAAAATAAATAAATAAATAAATAAATAAATAAAATCACATCATTATACTTCATACTATATAAACCTGACCTGACCCTTGCCTTTTGGGATGGGGGCTGAGCTTGCTCTGTAAGAACCCCTAAAGCCCAATAAGAACCATACAATCGTTAAGAGTGGTACAAAATAAGGACTCTGATCAAATATGAGGGTGGAGGGATTCTTGCTTAGCTGTCTTACTAGGATTTCTTGCTAAAACTGGATTTTACTAGATCATGCACTATTGGCCTAGAAAGAGTTCAGCAGCCTGGCCAAAGTTTGTTCAAGCAAAGGATTTGTCATGTTACATATACCCTGAAGAACTGTTATGAAAAATAAATTGAGTTGAATGTTTCATAAGTGACTACTCAGGGAGTGGTGAGATGGCTCAGTGGTCTAAAGCACCTACTTAGAACAAGCTAAGCTAAGCAAAAGCAGAGACCATGGTTCAATCCCCAGCACCACATGCCA